CCCAAATTGACATAATAACCAACATCACTATCATAATCGCCATTCCGAGCAGTGAATCCTTGATAACTTTATTAGTAGACCAAGAACGTCCAACAAAATTTGTCACCTTATGATCAGCCGGGTCTTCTTTATGACACGTGTTACAATATGATTGATTCTTTGGATAACTTTGTTTGTCTCGAGGGATGATAATTCCTTTGGTGGGCACCTTTGGCTGAAGAAACATTTGACATGAAAAATTAAGCTATAATCTTAATTAAAACACACATTATTCTTGTTAATCATTCCATAGTATGATTTAATTGAAGGATGTTTAACTTAATAAAAAGAGACATTTTCATGTATTTATTAATCCCTAAATTCGGAATTGAAATTTGTTGTAACGAGGATTGTTACATACATAATTAAATCCTAATCCCTCAAGAATCAAGATTAAGAAAATAACTTTTATTACAAAACATTTTGTCTTCAACTCATCACTTAATTTAAGTAATTTCAAACTAAAAAGTTTGATCATAATAAAACCTTTTTGTATTGTCAACGACAAAGATGAATATTTTTTTTTGCCGAACATCCTAAGGCAGTAATTTAATTTTAAACCAAGAAATCGGTTGAGTTTAATTACGTACCTCTTGGGCAAGATTTTTTGAGACATGGTGATCAATACGTTTGAGTTGTTGGTGAGCTTTTGTTGCTTCAAGTATTATATCATGGCTGGTTTTGAGAGTTGCTGCTTTAGCATCATCAAAGCTAAATCTTGTCTTCTCAATGGTTATGACTTTAAGCTTAGGCCATCTTAACTTGAGCTTGAAGAACTTCTTTCGAGCGTCGATTTTCTTAGGCTTCTTCTTCTTTGAGGAAGAGGGTTTTGAAGAAATTCCAAAACAAGTTAGAAAACAATTGGTTTTTGGTCTTTTTGGTTGAGTTGTTTTCTGGTTTGGTGCCATGGAAAAAAGATGAACAAGTTGATGGTTAACCCATAAATAAAAAAAAGGATCTTAGAGAAAAGGAGGGTTTTTGAAGGTGATGGGTTTGGTTGGACTTTGGCATTGCATGGAGGAGACTAAGTTTTAATTCAATTTGCCTAATATTTTAATTTGTAAATTTTTTTAAAAAAAAATACTAAAATTAAAAATTAAATCCTTTGTTTTGATTGTTCAAAATATTCTTGTTCAAACACGCTTGATGATGATGACGACATCAATTAGCCTCAATTAGCTTCTTGATTACGGTCTTAATTTTAAAATAGTAACTACTGTGTAAGACGACTAAGTGTACCATGTATAGTAAGATAGGGATGCCTTTTAACAAAAGATGAAAAAAAAACGACTTTTATGCATGATAAATTGTTACCTATATATAGGATGACTATAATTAAGAGCTTGGGTAAGGTTTTTTTATTTTTTATTTTTTTTTATTTTTTTTAATGTTACGCAACGGTCTCGTGCTAAAATAACATGAAGTAATAATATTATTTATTAAAATGCTACTACCTCCATCTAAAAGGAATTAACACAATTTGACTTTTTCATTATTCATCTATTAGCTTATACTGTATGCTTATATCAATATAAAAAAACTCAAATGTTATCATTTAAAATGTTGTTAAATTAGTGTTAATTTAATAATGTATACATTCATATATTAGTGGTTAAATTTATGTGTTGTCTGATCAAATTATGTCAATTGTTCTTTTTTTATGAAAAATTATGTCAAGTATTCTAAACGAAACGGAAGGAATACACTGTATATATATATGTAACAGTCTATAGTTTTTTTGTTTTTGTTTTGATTTGATTTGATTGGTTGTTGTATTTTGTTTTTAATTGGTTGTTGAATGGGTAGCAATTGTCTATCTTGGTTTAGAGTTTAGACGACCCCTCACAAGAGGGAGGTGACTTTAGACTTGGTGGGGTACCAAATACCAATTAGCACTAGAAAGGAGATTGCGTTTTGGTCAAAAGAATGCACCTTCTTCACGTTCCCGTGTTATTCACTTAAATGAATAAATGCTTGCATCTTAGTTAGGTATAGTTCACGGATGTATTATTAACAAAGTATATATGCAAATCCTAATGAAAACCAAAAAAATTAGACGTTTTTGATTTTATTTATGTTTATTTGATAAAGTTAAAGGTGTTTATGATTCTTGTTCTTCTTTATCTCAACGACTTTTGACATTTATCCGTATTTTTTTCAAAACTTTGTACGTTGGAAATTTGATTTGTCTTATATTTGAGTAGATAAGAATGTAACTTTTGATGATTTTTGACAAATTCTCATCCAAACCATATTTTGATCGTTGTATTGTAAAGATCCTGTTCACTTCACCTTAAAAAAAAAAAATATTTAGTACAAATAATTTTAGTTCAGCAAAAATAAGTTCAATTTAGTAAAAATAATTTCACTTCAGTAAAAATAATTTAAGCTCAGCAAATATAATTTCAGTTCAGTAAAAATAATTTCAGTTCAACAAAAATAAGGTGAATTGAACGGGGTCTACGTTGAAAAAAAAAGGAATGAAATCAATTAACTAAGATTATGAATTCATAAAACCTTGACACATATACAAGCCAATCCAATTAGTTTGCTTTATTTTTAAACCAAAAAAAAAATAAAAGGATCGAGGTTAAGTCATTTAGATTATAAATAAAAGGTTTACTTTTATGTGTGATTAATACGGAAGTATATAAGTTATTGATAGGGATATACGAGACTTGCAATATAATTGAAATCTAAGTTCAATAGCATGTTTGTAACAAAGTAAATCTTACTCTTTAATTTGTTAATCTATTTCTCCCTATTTATTTGTGATGTGCATGGAGAGATTCTATCAAACGGTAGAGGAGTCAATAATTCAAGGGAAATGGAAGCCAATTCGTGCAAGTCGTAATGGTCCGCTTCTTTCGAACTTATTTTTTGCAGATGATATAATTTTATTTGCAGAAGCAAGTGAAGATCAAGCTGCAATTATTCACCAATGCTTAAACCGATTTTGTAATGCTTCAGGGCAAAAGGTTAGCTTGGCGAAATCTCGGGTGTATTTTTCGAATAATGTTGATGAGATGTTGCAAGACTCGATTAGTAATGCCTTGCATATGGAAAAAACGGAGGATCTAGGCATGTATTTGGGAGTGCCAACCCTAACTAATCGTGTGACATTGGAAACGTATAGTCATCTTTGCGAAAAGATTGACCGTAGGTTAGCGGGATGGAAGTCGAAATACCTTTCACTTGCAGGCCGGATTACTCTTGCCAAGTCTACTTTCTCGACTACGGCTATGTACTCTATGCAAACCGCTAAAATTCCTCGTGGTATTTGTGATAAAGTTGATAAGAAGACGAGGCAATTTATTTGGGGTGGCAATGAAGAGCAAAGGAAGGTTCATCTTTTATCGTGGGAGATGCTGCAAAAACCCATGGATTAAGGAGGCATTGGTATTTTATCGGCCAAACAAGCAAATGCGGCTTTCTTGACTAAGCTTGGATGGCGTGTGCTTGCGGAACCGAATGCATTGTGGGCTAGAGTGCTAAGGGCTAAATATTGCAAAGGCAAATGTGACATTGATATGTTTGAACTGAAGGTAGGAATGTCAAATGTGTGGAGTGGAATAACGGAGAATACAAAGGTGATAGGTGAAGGAACTCGGATTGCTATTGGAGATGGGACTCGCACCTTATTCTGGGATCACTGTTGGTGTACAGACAGGCCTCTTTCGGACTTAGTTACTCAGCCCCTGTCGGAGGAGCTAGCAGGTGCTACGGTCAATGAGATGTGGGAAGAGGATATCGGGTGGCGTTGGAACACGTTCTCCCCTTTTCTTGATACCGATACTTTGAAGCTCATTCAAAGTCATGTAGTGTGCAAAAACTCAAACTTGGGAGATCTGGTTTATTGGAAGGATGGAGCAAAAAGGTCGATTTACAATTAGATCGGCAATAAGAATCATGAAGCATGGTATAGACACAATCGATGATGAGTGCTGGGATATGGTGTGGAAGGCTCTATTACAGCAGCAAATTAGATCGTTCATGTGGCTTGCTTGCCATGAGCGTTTGCTTGGCAACTTGAATAGATTCAAGAGGAAATGGCTCTAGACCCTAATTGTTTTATTTACGGGGCTGAAGAGGAGTCTAATTTGCATATGCTAAGGGATTGCCCGGCTGCAAAAGTGGTATGGAGGAAAACTCTTCCACCTTCGATTTATCACCTATTTTACAGTGGTAACATAGAGGAATGGATAGTCAAAAATATGAAGAACCCTGATCAAGATGATGCCGAGAGTTGGGTAGTCTATTTTGGGGTCACTCTTTGATGGATTTGAAGATGGCGCAATTGTTATGTGTTTAATAGAAGGGATGAACTTCCTCTCGATTTTTGTGCTTTTCTTCAAGTACGATATGAGGAAGCAAGGAGAGCTCTGATGAGTAACCTGGAAGAAAGTAGCAGCAGCAATCAGCCGAGGGTACAAACAAATGTCAGCTGGATCAAGCCTGGATTTGGGTGTTATGCTTTGAACTGTGAAGGCGCCGCAAAGGGGTGCCCTGGACCAGCAGGTGTGGAGCAATAATCAGGGATTATACGTACAGGAAAGTGCGTCTCGGCCTTCGCAAGTAACTTTGGCTATTGCACAGCGTTTCGAGCAGAGGTGATGGCTATAACTAGAGGCTTAGAGATTGTTCGAAATTTGCAAATTTCGAAGCTAGAAGTTCAGATGGATAACTTGGCCTGTGTTCAAGTGTTGCATAAACAAGAAGTTCAAAGAGGGGAGAACATCCATGACATCATCTATTGTCGTAATATGCTTAATGATTCGAGGTGGGAGGTAAATGTGGCACATGTGTATCGCGAAGGGAATCGAGCGGCGGATTGGTTTGCCAACCGCGAAATCATTCAAGACTCTCAACTTGTTTTCTTTAATAACATTCCGATAGAACTTAGTCGTATTTTAGAGGAGGATACTAGGGGTGTGGCGTTGCCATGCTTTGTCCCTCCGTAGTTAGGTGTCTTTGTGTTTTAGTAGCTGCTAGTTATTCTTTGTTTTTCGTTTTTTTCTTTGTTTGGTCATGTACCTCATTCGAATAAAAAAAATGTTAATCTAAATGCGAGTCCGAGCCCGATGCTGACACATTTTTTTGGGTATCCTTCGGTTAACTCAATTGACTCAGTCTGCTGGTCCGGCTCCATTGCTTTGGAACCGGACTCTTCACAATCTGGCCTGCTGTCGATGTCAGCAAGCGTCCTAGACTTCGGCTGACTTTCCGAATCCTTTGGTTCGGATAAGGAGCTAACTTTTCCTTTCCCCTTAAATTTTTCTTAGGCAAGGGTACCTTGGGCCGAAGCACTTAAGCTTTTCTACTTCTTAGTGCTTCGGTCTTTCTCTTTTTCTTTTTCCTCATCATCCTTGTCGTCGCGACGAGCTTTGGATGGCTTGAGGTAGTTAACTACCTCAAATGCAACGTTGCATTTGAGGGAAGCCTGTTGGCTTCCTTGAATTCTTTCGCAGTGGCCTTCGTCTGAGACATAGATCATCATCTGATGGTACGTGGAGACCACTCCTTGAATATGATGGATCATGGGTTTCCCCATGATCGCATTGTAGACAGATGGAACGTCCATGACAAAAAATTCGGCCATCACGTTTTGAGCTGCTCGGTTTCTACCGATGGTTACGGGAAGGGTGATCTTCCCATCTGGATATATTGCAGATCCATTGAATCCAAATACCGGGTAGGGTACCGGACTTAGGTCCTTGGTCTGCAACTTCAGCTTGTCGTAGGCATCCCGAAATAGGATGTTTGCCCAATACCACCGTCGACATGGGTTCGCCAGACGTTGTGGTTCGCTATCCCCGTGATGATTACCAGCGGGTCATCATGGGGGAATGCCACCCCCCGGTAGTCTTCGACTGTGAACGTAATGTTTGGCACTGGAGACTATGGACCTTGGATGGAGGCATGGTTGACTTGATGGGTCAGACTCCTCAAGTGGTGTTTTCGAGCGTTGAGGGAGCTCGTCCCCCCCGGAAATGACAAGGATGTAAAGATTCTCTTTGTCCTGCGACTTGTCTTTCTTTCGGTTGAAGTCCAGTTGTAGCCGAGAGTCTTGCTCGGCTTTTTTCTCTTCGCGGCGATCCGCGAGATATTTTTTCAGATAACTCTTTCGGACCATATCCTCGATCTGATATCTCAGCTGGATACAGTCCCCTCAGTGTGATGTCCAGGAGACTCATGGAACTCACACCATCGGTCTTTATTTTTGTTTTTATGCCACGACGGAAGTGGCCTCGGCTTCTTCCACTTCTCTTCGTTCTTCGTTAAGCTGTAAATTTTAGCACGCGGAAGAGCGAGAGGAGTGTAGGATTCGTATTTCCCTACAAATGGGGTTTTTTCTTTCTTCGGCTCAGCTGTCGAGGACGGTTCTGAGGCTTTTGCCTTCCCTTTCCTCTGATCCTGGCCTTTAGACTGTTGTCCTTTTGCCTTACAAGTCCCAGTTTGAGATTGGGACTTGGTTTTGTTTCATTTATCGGCTCGAATGTACTTATCCGAAGTGTCGAGGGCTTCCTCCAAGGTCTGCGGGGCATGCATTGTTAGGTTTTTATAGTGATTTCAAACAAGAAAAACACTTAAATTTGTGTGGGAACAAAACCTAAATAATATGATTACAATATAATGAAATGTAATTATTCAAATACAATACAAAGTATTTTCAATCAAGTAATAAATATCTAAGAAATTGCAGAAATTTCTATAGACAACACTAGTGTGAAGATAATCAAACTTGCCTTAACTACAAGCCGATACAACCAAGCATGAACATGAGAATACCAATGTCCCGTAAGACTAGATCTTTGATACACTGTCAAAGGCGTGTAAACACTTTCCTCAAGAGGTTTATTTCCCCTACACGGTACTTGGGTTAAATCGGAAATCCTCTTTGAGAGAAAATTGACAGAAATTTCGTTCTTAGTATTAGAATCGAAATCAAGATGATCAATTCACCAAAATCGGATTAATTGCAAGAGTTTTCTCACAAAAGTTTGCAAGAAATTTGAGAGAAAAGTGTAGGGAATACTACTTGGGGAGAAGAATAATAATGTCTGTATCTGTTCTTTCACGAAAATCAAGTCTTTTAATAAAAAACTCAACCGTCTGAAAAAACTGCAAAACAGGGAGGCGCGGGCGCGCCACCAGGTGGAGCGGGCGCTCCTATATTAGGAGCGAGCGCTCCTTACAATATCTGCAAAAATTCACAAAAAGGCAGCGAGGGGCGCGGTTTAGGCGTGACCAGCAGCGCGGGTGCGCCATCCAAGCAGTGCGGGCACGCCACCTGCCGCGCGGCCGCGCCATCCTCACCCTTCCAATTTGCCAATTTCTTGAGAGGTGCGCGGTTTAGGCGCGCACTCTGCGCGACTGCGCCTAACTTGCGCGGGCGCTCTTTATGGTCGCGAACGCGCAACCATCAACACTCTAAATATCCAACATTTAGAGTTTTGTTTCAAAGGTGCGTGGTTTTGTTTCATTTCTCGGCTCGAATGTACTTATCCGAAGTGTCTAGGGCTTCCTCCAAGGTCTGCGGGGTGTGCATGATCGTGAAGTCAAGGAACTTCCCAGGCTGTAGCCCATTTCGCTACGCGATAACGGCTAGCCCTTTGAAAGGAATGGGGTCCTTCAAACAAGTGTATTATTCCGATAGAGGGTTCAGAATTAATTAGGAAAGCTAATTATTCAGTGAGGTCAAGTGATCGGAATGCCTAGCTGGAAGCCGTTTCCGATCAGTAATATTAATGTATAAGTAATATTATAACTTGGTCTTGACTGAACCCTTCGGGTCACACCCAATTGTGTAACCGAACCAAAGCGACGAATTAATTCGAAGGATTAAATGAGTCGATAGAGATTTTACGAACTAAGACATCGGATTCCGAGCTTAGAGCGTCGAAGCCAAGCGTCGAAAGTCGAGTCGAATTCAGGAATTGACGAGACGAAAAAATCAGTCAAACAACAAGTCAACGCGCGTGAAAATCCTAGTCTCGATATGGCCTAGCCAATCGAGGGCTAGGTGGGTTAGCATTATTTGCCACAAAGGCAAGGCTTGGTCGCAAGCCCAACATGCATCGCATGCACTGGCTGGGCGAGCAACCATGCGGGCAACGCTTGGCAGCATGGCCGAGCATCCATGCGAGGAGGTGCGCCGTCGTTGGTGAACTCTAAGGGATATCAAAAAGTGAGAAAACCTTAGTTTGTAAACTCTAAGTTATTTTTTGTCTAGCCCCATCTAAGCTACGGGGTAGGGACCGGTTCTGGTTCGGTGAGCGAGGGTGTGAGCCGTCGGAGGTTTCGCACTTGCGGAGTTTGAAGCTTTTAAGTCCGAGCTCATTGAGTGAGCGAAGCAAGCGTCTAGGGTGAGTTTCTTCCTCTCTCATCTCTTTATGTGTTTGTGTTTTGTTTATTTGCATGCTTTTGTTTATGTTGTAATTATTATGAATGCGATCTGGTTTTTGGGTTTTGTTTCCGCGCGGTGTCGGACATCGCAAAACCCAACAGTGGTATAAGAGCCTCTTGCATTTAATTTTTAAAACTAAAATTAATTAAGGTGATTTAAATGGATTTAAATTTCTGGTTAAGCATCCTAATTAGACTAGGACCTCGTTTTTAATTAGATTAAAATCGTATTTATGCTAATTTTGGCCTACGAACCCCGATTTTGACTCAAAAAGAGTGGATTTTGGGTGGAATCAACGTTCTAAATCATTTTTTTTTATCCACAAAGTGTTTAAAAATGACCTTCCAGAAGCCAAAATCCACCCAGAAATTGGTTTTTCGTTTACAACGAAATTTTTTAAATCTTTAAACGTTGATTAATTATGGCATGTAATTGTTGGATTATGTGTTTGATTATACTATTAATCTTCTGCAATTTTAACCCTTATTAAGCCTGTTTATGAAGTCATATTGGTGCTTAATTTGGTGAAGTCATGTTTATTAAGCATGTTTATTTGGTTGGATCTTAACTTACTAAAATCCATAATGAACAAATTTTTGGTTTTAATCATTTTGGAAGTTGATTAAAATCTTAAATGTTCATACTTATGCTTGAAATATTATTGTTCTTCATATTAGAAGGTTACAATATCAAATGTGCATAAGTAAGTGTTGGATAAATTTTTCATTGGATGATTGACTATTAAATCATTTTTGTCAAATCTTATTATTAGTTTATGTTGATTAAATTAATTGTCAGAATAACCGTCAATGTTTGTTGCATCAAGTTGAGCCAAAAATAATTTAAAGAATGGTTCTTGAATTAATTTTGGTTTGTGCACTAAAATTGAATTTAATTAACTTGGACTTGTATTATTTTCAATATTGCTCAATATTAGTTCTAAAATCAATTTAGAATTAATTTTTATGTCACACAAAAATTCGGAATAAAATCCGAAAGCACAACAAGCGACAAATCGAAGCCGATGCTTCGAGCACCTAGGCTCGGCTAGCAGGGCTGCTTACGGCAGCCCACAAGTTGCTACCAGTAGCGCCTACGGCTAGCACCGAGCCAAGGCATGTGCGACATGTGCGAGGGAGTATGCGTGTGGTGGGCGGACTGCGACTGCCAGGCAGCGCCCATCCCGCAAGGCAAGGCTGCCTAGTAGCGCCTACGGCCAGCACAAGCATGCGCGCCAGCATGCTGCTAGCACCAGCGACACGTAAGCATGCTAGGCATGCTGCGACGCTGCCAATTCTAGTAGGCGCGGGGCACGCTGTTGTGGATGTGCGACTAGCACCCATGCGCTTTATCTCCAGGCTTGGGTGCCTAGCAAGCCTAGCCTCATGGCTTGGATGCTAGGCACTCGGCCATTTGGGGGTTTATTATTTTGCTAAGTTTTGCGTTTTTTTATTATAACGAGGCTAGGCCTCGGTTTTTCCGGCACTTGCAAAAATTATTTGGCAAAATTTTGGGTTAATCGGCTTAATTAATTTTAATTGGATTAATTTTAAT